GAGAGCCCCGGTGACAAAAAAAAAAAAAAAAAAAAGGTGAAGCCGAACTTACAGTACCTTGGAATTTGTAGTACCTTCCAGCACCTAAGGAATCATGCCGTATAAGGCATAGGTTTACAGAACAAATGGCACCTCTGACCATAACCACCAAGACTATAAAACGTTCCCAAATAGGATAGACAAAATTAATTACCTCCTTTTGTGCTTCAGTGTCCTAGCTTCATGACCCCTTCCACCACTAACTCCCCACTAGACTCTCCAGGTGTACAAGCTCTTCCCCCTGAAGCACTTCATCCCTCTTCAATACAGTTGTCTTTCATGATTCTTAGCTTGGTATGTGACAAGCAGGGTAAGGTAATTCCCAATAAGCCAACTCCCAGGAAAGATCTGTACCTGAATCTCTAATTGCACTTCATATATAGGAGACTGAACTGTAGCCACATACCATTTGCCCTTTTCACCCTACCAAACTCAAAATTTCCAGCACAGGAGAATAAACTGTGGCTCAAAAATCATTCCTTTCTTGGGGGCTGTTATTTGGTGTATGAGACAGCATTCATATCCGAGCTCTGAAAGGAAAGGACATGCGAAAGAGCTGGGCCACACTCAGATAAAACTTCAGAATAGAAGATTAGTAGGATTCAGGGAGATAAGGAAAAATCCATATCCTCCTTTAGCCTTGATCTCAGTTGTTTAACTCATTTTATGATTATTTCTTTGAAGTAAAATAAATGTGAGGGAACAATAATACTTTAGTCCCACATTCAGGTAACTGAGTTAGTGGAAACTTTACCAATCTTGACAGCAGAGAAGGAATAAGAAGCAAGAAGAAATCTGCATCCTAAACTTTCCACTGACTAATTTTACCCTGAAATAGTATCAGCCTCGGTATGGGATGAAATAACTTCTTGTACATAGTTTGAGATTCTAAAATAATATGGTGTCTGTGCTGAAATTCAGTTTGGAGTTACAAATCACCAAATCTAGAATTCTTCACACACTTTTGGTACAGAACTCATTGTTCAGTTAGGAATTACTAGTAGTTGAATGGGTTATAATAAGTTATTCTGATTATAAAACTTAATCTGCCCACCTTCAAACATACAAATAATTACTGAATATTTCTCTAAGAGATACTATATATAAGTTGGGAAAAATATCAAATGACATGGAATAATAATAGGTATTCTTGAAATCCTTCCAGCCATATTAGGAGTTATTTTGGGGGAAGGGAATAATATGTATTATTTAGTACGTGTAAGTAAGCAATTTCTATAAATGATAAAATTTAATCCCTACAAAACCTATGATATTCTGTAGTTCACAGAATTGGAAGCTATCACTTGCAGATTTTGTATTATAAAATGGTTATCTTCTTTATTCATCCTTTATTCATTATTTCTATTCCCATCAGTCTTTAGGTCTAGACAAAGTTGAAATAACTCTGAGAAGTGATCTTGTGTTTTGGGTTGTTTCACTGGGGGTATTTTAATAGGAACTAATTTCTCCCCTAATAGGTTTTAAACGCCAAGATTTTTCTCCTCACTGCTATAATCTGAGCACATAGAACAGTGTTGACACATAGCAGTAGCTCTACATATACTTTAGCTCATTTGCCCAACATCCAATTACTACCAATGCCAACTGTTTCCATTTTATTGTAATAAATAATACAATGATGAATACAGCTGAACTACTTTATATAACCTTTCCTAGCTTGCATACATTCATTTTCTATACTGCATAACAAATTCATATTTCTCAAATTCATTTATGTATTCATGATACAGCATTCATTAGCATTGTAAACAGATCTCTATGAAAATACTATGCAGGAATTATTATCCTCTTACCTTTGCCATCACTCTGCCATTTTTGTAGCCAATTTAGGAACCTAACTACCACTTAAACATTTTTTTAAAAAAGATTTTTTTTTTCCAGTTCAGTGGAGAACTCCACACTTTAGAAATCTCTCTCTGTGATAGCCTTCATGTTGACTAAAATGTTGAGATCCTAGTACTGTCTTACTGCATAGTGAGCATAGACGTTTGCCAGCTGTATGATATGATAGCCATTGGAAAGACTAGACTCAAATAGCTGGCTTAGGATCACCTGGAAATTCCAGGACTCCCATCATGGCATGGGGATATGAGGATATGTTGAAGGATGGGAGTGAAGAGTACATCAACAGGTGCATTTGGGTGGAAAGGATATTGTACATCAGACCTCCAAATCACAGAGAGAAGCCATGTTAGCAAAATCAATAGAATTCAATGTATTTGTCTCTATGAAGGATAAGGGGAAAAAAGACAGCTATT